AAAATCCCCACAGACATGCCCGCAGGCGAGTCTGATGGAGCAGTTCCTTAACTGAGGTTCTCTCTTCCAGTTAACTCCAGTTTGTGTCGTGTTGTCAACAAAATAGAGGAGCCCAGCACACACTACAGTCCAGTTACTGGCTCTGAGCCAAGTCTGAGCCTGAATCGCTCAGGTTCCTATAGCATGCTATATCAACTATAAAACTTACCAGTTCAATTCTCCCTTCTCTATTTTCATCTATAAAGTAGAAGTACAGCAGTATGTACTCCTCAAGGTGCTTTGAAAACTAACTAACGTATGTATGTAAGATGTTTCAAATAACATTTGCATATAATAAGCACTATACAGGAGCCACATGCTGATCACATTATTTTGTTTAAAAAAAAAATTAATAAGGACAGGCAGGAAGACTGCTGGAGCTCAATGACCAGCCAGCCTAGCTGAATGGTGAGCTCCAGGTTCAGCAAGAGGCCGTGTCTCAATAAGGTAGAATGCAACTGAGGAAGACACCAGATATCAACACCTCTAGCTACCACAAGCATGTACACACACACACACACACACACATACAAACGTGCACATACCACACACGTGCATACCAAAAAAATTCCACAAAGACAAATTAAATCTCATTCCAGAGACTGCTCATTAAAGAGGTTACTGACACTGAAAAACTTTCCACTGTCATGAAATTAGAATTGCATTGAAATGCTCAGTGCACAACCTCACATACCTGTTTGGAATACAAGTTCCTTCCCTCCGACACCTGCTGCCTCCAGGTTAAGAAATGCACGAATCAAACTGGCCCAGGGATGCTGGGTAATAAAACCATGACTGGCCTTAATGAGGAGAGAAACAAATGGAGGTTAAAATAGGTTTTATATTGCTTATTTGCATGACAGAAGGGCTATCTTGAAAAGGTGGAGACTATGAGGGCAAAATAAACATTTCTCAAAGGCAGACTCTAAGGCATCCTGTATAAATGGTGCTCGGTTGGCCAAGTGGAAAGTCACTGTGAGAATATGCAAAAGTTAAAAAAGGAAAATACAGGAGAGGCAATCCATATAGTTGGGCATTTCTGCTGTGTACCTTCCTCAAATCACCTCTCTGAAACTCGAAGGTTAAAAGTCAGAAGAGAGTAATTATAACATTAAAAAGACCCTTGAATCAAACACTTTTCTGGGCATAGTGGCACATGGCTGTAATCCCAGCACTCAGAAAGCTGAGGCGAGAAGATCACAAGTACCAGGCCATTGTGAGAGACACAGCAAGTCCCTGATTCAAAAAGTAAAGTGAAAACAGCCGGGCAGTGGTGGCGCACACCTTTAATCCCAGCACTCAGGAGGCAGAGGCAGGCGGTTTTCTGTGAGTTTGAGGCCAGCCTGGTCTACAGAGCTAGTTCTAGGACAGCCAAGGCTACCAAAGAAATAGTCTTTGGGAAAAAAAAAACCAACATAAAAACAATAACAAACAAACAAAAAGTGAAAACAAACCAAAGCATCACATACTAGCAAGATGTGCTGTTCTCAGCTGGGTTTCTAACATACTGAGCATGTCTGCATTCATGGACATTTTTAAAGTACTGCTAAGTACAGTATTTGTTTTACATATTATTTAATGACATTACTCATATTACTAATAAAACACATCATGACCAATCATTATTACTCTCATTATTATCAACTCGAATATTTAAGACAATAAAACCTTACTTGCAAGACATTTTCCTCAGCACCATTGAAGAGAAAGACCACAGCATGCTTCAAGGGTTCTGACGACGCTGACATGCCTCGGAGAACCTCGAGCATCACTGCACAGCTGACTGCATCGTCACTGGCACCTTGGAGTCAGAAAAACAGATTCACTTCTCAGTTTCGGGACTTTCCACACTGGTGTGGAATGCAGCTTTCCCCTCAGAGAAGCATCATGACAGCTGCATGACCAGAAGCATAACTGTCATCACGGGGTGACAACTACGCCCGACAAAGACAAGGCCCATCAAGATCCTAGTCTGCTCCATGACAATCAATACCCACTCAATAGCCGTGCTAATAAGTTAACCAGATAGGACCGCAGGCCCATGGAATGTATCCTCTTCCGCCATCCTCTGGGATGCTCTCACTTCTGGTACTCATGGCTTCCTCCACTCTACCTTCCTTGACTTTCAAAATCACAAAAGCTGCAGCACTTCCTGTTTACAGAGGATGTGACTCTCTGTGATGGGTGTTTACACTGGGTGGAGTAACACTTTCTAAGGTTTTTCTGAAGGGATGAAGTACTGGAAAAGCGCAAAGGCAGCCCCTGAACGGCAGGACACAGAAGAGGGAACTACTGACCAGGCCCGTCACAGCACTGAAAAGGTACAGCACTCAGTCCAATACTCCAGCTCTCCACCAGAAAATCACATTAATTAAAGATTATAAAAAGAGCTCTAGTGCTCTGATTTTTTAAAATAACGAAATCCATTATTTTGACATTTGTGTGGACTGATTTTGTGTGCCAGCGGGAGGTGGGGGTGGGAGTGGGGGCATGACAATTGCCACAAGGCACACATGCAAGTCAGAGGACACTCTTGGAGAGGTCATTCTTTCCTCCCATCAGTGGGTCCAAACTCAGGCAGCTGGGCTTGGTGGCAGGCATCTTAAGCACTGAGCCATCTTGCTGGGCCCCATGTGCTGACTTTAAAAGCACTGTGGGAGGTAGTTAAAGGAACTCACTGGCCATTTGACGACACTAAAAAGTTATCACTACATTTTCTAAGTGAAGTAGCTCATGATATTGCTAGCATTCAAAAGGGTCCTCATCCTTCTCCAGGGCAGCCTGAAATACAGAGGAGCCAATGCAGCAGAGAGCCACTTCAAAATAACCAAGGAGGAGGGCTGCAGCAGGAAAGAAGACTGGACTGGATGAAAGCTGGAGGCACACTGAGGGTCAATAAACAAGTCTGTCTTCCAGAGAGCTGATTTTTCTCCTAACGGAGTCTAAAAGGCATCTCGAGTAAGTAAACACTACCCTAATCCAGGCAGGAGCACTTCTGGGTGTCCACACACGGTGAGGCACGGGGCTACAGCCTTCAGTGGGGACTTGAGAGCAGAGTGTCATCTACTACTTCCTGGTCTAGAAGGTGGGCTGATGGCTCCACCTCACAGGTTTTGCACAGATTATACAAGACAACGCCCATTGCCTGGCCCCTGGAAATATCCCACCTTAGTTTCCTTCTTTCTCTTTGAAAACTTAGGGAAGGCTCTGTAACCAGGTAAAATAAAATGCTTGCTCTGAGGCGCTGTTAAATTCCAACCCTCACTTCTGCTCAAAAAGAAACAATACTAATGATACCTCTCTTAGTGATTATTGGACTGTATTTTAGTCATTAGTCAGAGTGAAACAAAATAATGGCTACTTGATTACTATTAATTAGAGCAGGGAATATAAGCTGATATAGCTAATGTGTACCACTTTTCAGAAAACAGAGGAAATAAATATTTTCTTTTTAATTTGAAACTGTTCTTTAAAAACAAAAAGCAAACAGTAACACTTTTCTTTATTCAAAGTAAAAGTGAAATTAAAAAACATTTCCCTTTATACGGTTGATTGACAAATTTAACTCCCCCTTCATATTCCCCTATTTTAATGGTTCTGTGTCTTAGAAGAGACCCAGGAAAGGGTCAAAATATCTTTAAGAAAGTGAAAGACAGAGGACAGTAAAAGCTGAGTGATTAACTGACATCCCTTCCCATTTAGAATCAACCCTGAAATTGAAGCCACCCCAAAATAACTCAAATGCCTCTTTTACCAATGACCTGGCACCACACAGCAGACCTGAGACGATAAATGAGGTCTTCCGTAGGTAACGTTACTACTAATTGGTATCCATTCCCGAGTCCAGATACGTCGCTGAGAACTTTAAAATAATACCCACAGGAAAACAAACATAGCTCTGCAGGCCTTCGGGCCCAGGCCTTGGGTAGCTAAAGCAGAATTGCTGGTAAGACTCAGGCCACCCTAGACGACACTGTTCAGGATGGCTCAATACAACTCCTGGAGCTGGAGCACAGCTCAGCGGTAGGGCATTTGCCCGGCAAGTACAGGTGTCGGGTTCCAGCTCCAGCACGTGCACACACATACACAAATACTCACTCTTGTTTCAGTGGGTTCATCCACTGAAAGGATTCAGTTGAAAACTATTTGGTGAGTGGGTGAAAAGCTACTCTTAGCTTACTAGTAGTAGGTATTTCTTTCACACTATCAATATGTGTACTATAAAATCTTAGGTAAAAATGATTTCTAAACTAGAAACAGAGCATTGCTTAGCATGTAGGAAGCCACAGGTTCAGTCTGAAAAGAACCGAAAGTCTCTTCTAGTCAATTAAACCATGCATGGTGGGACACTCAGATCAGAGAATTCAGGATCATCCTCGGTTATACAGCAAGTCTGAGACCAGTTCACGGCTGCATGGGGCCCTGTATAAAGGGGGGGCACTCTAATGGCTCCCCAAAGAGCCTTTTCATTAGTGGACACCACATGCAAGCTGTACACCTGGCACTACGTGAAGAGCAGCAACAAAATGTCCTTCAAAATATGCTAGTTGGACACAAGGCTATTGGGCGCTCAGAAATCCAGGAGATACCGTGAGGCTCTCTGCCCTCCTCCCATTTGCCTAAAAGCATTTGCCTATGCAGGTGTTCCTCCCCCTCTACCAGGAAGAACGAAGGTCAATCTTCAAAGACCACCTTAGACCCTGAAGAGCCTACAGAGGGTAAGCTTTCCTACGAGACTTTCCTTCCCATACATGTCAGCTCCACAATTTGCTGCCCGCAGACTCCAGGTCCTTTCTCCTTTTCTGCTTTGGTTTGGGTTTTTCCCAGCACTAAGGATGGAACTTGGGGCTGCACAGACCAGGCAATCGCTCTCCTACTAAGCTACACCCCACACCTAGTTCTTTCCCTTTGTCTTGTCACTTTTCAAAAGAAGTTCTTTGATGACAATAAGATTTAAGCCAGAGAACTGAAGCACCTCTTTGAAATGGTTCATTTTCCTTGGTATATCTGCACATGGAAATAGCCGTGTCTGCTTTTCCTTATTTATCTTTTCTTACAAGGATCCATCCATTCCACATAAGAATTATGAGAGGTAAAGAAAAAAAAATAGGGTGTTTCTACATTTGTTTGATATCTATATATGCAGTCTTTCTAATACAATGCTCTTAAATAACCACAGCATTATGTGTCCCTTTCCAATTTAAGCATCTTAATAATGAGCACAGGGTGGCCTTGTCTAGTGTCCCTAGCATTGTTACGGCACTTCTGCCTTTTTAAAAATGAATGTGTGGATACTGATTTCTGAAAAAGCAAAGCATATATTCTAAATGCAAAGAAATGTCCAGTCACAAAATTGTTTCATCAAGTTAAGGCTAGTTTATGTCTTATGTAACTCTAGATGGTTATATTGGGCCTGCTATACATTCAAGTAATCCAGAAGTATTGTTATAATTATTATCAAGGAAGATTTTCCTTGAGAGATGCTATCCTAATATTTTGCTTACACTTAATCCTTTGAGCAACACTATTAGGAAATTAACTATCATTTTTCTGTTTAACAGTTAAAAAGTTAAAGAATAAGTTAGGCAATAAGCCCAAGAAGACCTAATGATACTTAGACATCTCTTGGCCAGGAGATCCAGCATCTACCCCAGCTCTGTGTGATCAGAGGTGACCAGCCAGAAGAGGGGTTTTCTTTAAGTCTAAAATCTCAGGATGCCATTATAAAACTCTACTTTCTATTCTTACCTGCCTGTGTTAGCTGTTTTTTGTTGTTTGTTTGTTTGTTTGCATGTTTTATTTATGAATGTTTACATGAGTATATAAAGAAGAAATTTTAGAGATTATGCAAGTTATTGGTTTTTAGACATGAGGCCATTTGTAAGAGAGTCATGGAAATTTACTTACATGATAAAAGATTTCGGGACTTAAGTACAATGAGCACACTTCATATAATATCATTTCAATAGTGATTTTTGTTTCACTCTATATACTTTCCAAAAACAACACCATCTCCAAATTTAAAAAAAAAAAAAATAGTCCTTGGAGCCAGGCAGTGGTAGTAGTGCATGACTTTAATTCCAGCACTTGGGAGGCAGAGGCAGGAAGATCTGAGTTCAAGGCCAACCTGGCCTACAGAATGGGTTCCAGGACATCCACGGCCACACAGAGAAACCCTGTCTTGGAAAACAAAAACAAATCCTTGGAGTTCTGCAGTTAAGAGAGTTTGCTGCTCCATCATGAGGACCAGTTCAGATGCCAGAATCCGCATCAGCCACTGCTCACAGATGCCTAAACTCTAGCTCCAAGGAATCTGACACCCTCTTCTGGCCTCCAAGTACACCCACACACATGTGGGCATACAAACACAGATACACATAAATAAAATAAATATTTCATCAATACATATTTTTTAAAAAAGCTGGAGAGAATCCTTGTAGTCCACAACTACATCAGTATCTCCACATTCTGGGCAAACTTGATCTCCAACTTTCAAGCAAACTGAATCTCTCCACCTCCAAGCTAGTGCTGTTGGCTATAATGCTCTTCCCTGAGATTTCAGTGGAAGCATAATGCCTCTTTTGGTTTAAGTTTGGCTACACTTACTTCAACCAAAACCCTATAAAACAGCTAAAGAAAGTTTCAAATGCTTTTCTTACCATTACCCTTGCCAATACAGCTTGCACTCTTTGGTGCTACTGCAAGGAGAAAGAGGCCCAGGGTCTGGCTCAGGACACATGAAAAAAACTACTGAAAATGTGCTTCTGAGAAATCTTATATTAAAAAAACAAGGCTGGGCGGTGGTGGCGCATGCCTTTAATCCCAGCACTCAGGAGGCAAAGGCAGGCAAATCTCTGTGAGTTCGAGGCCAGCCTGTGCTAGAGTGAGTTCCAGGAAAAGTGCAAAGCTACAGAGAGAAACCCTGTCTCAGAAAACCAAAAAACAACAACAAGAAGAAACAAGCAAACAAGAAACAAGTTCCCAATGACTCATAGCAATGAACACTATAGATATATGAACTAAAGGGTATACTGTGTGACTCACTGGACCATACTACAGCTTCCATGAAGAGATTTGTGTGCGTGCGGGCATGCGGGCGTGCGTGCGTGCGTGCATGTGTGTGTGTGTGTGTGTGTGTGTGTGTGTGCGCGCGCGTGTTTTATTTTATTTTTATTTTTTGGTTTTACTTTTAAATTTTGTTTTGTGGTGAGGTTACAAGGGCAGGGGGTGGTGCTGTGGGATGTTCTCTATGCTGTGAATGTGTTGCTCTGATTGGTTAATAAATAAAGTACTGATTTGCCAGTAGCCAGGCAGGAAGTATAGGCGGGACAAAGAGAGAGGAGAATTCTGGGAAGTGGAAAGCTGAGTCAGGAGATGCCGCCAGCCGCCACCATAAGAAGCGAGATATAAAGTGCCCCGCAAGCCACAAACCACATGGCAACTTATAGATTGATAGAAATGGGTTAAGATGTAAGAACTAGATAGCAAGAAGCCTGAGCCATTAGGCCAAACAGTTTAAATAAAATAAGCATCTGTGTGTTTATTTGAGTCTGAGTGGCTGCCGGCCCAGGCAGGACTGGAGATAACTACAGGGTAGTTATCCAGCTACAGGGTAGAGGTGATGGGACAGGGAAATCAGTGGGATCGGGATGCATGATGTAAAATCCACAAAGAATCAATAAAAAGTTAAATTTAAAAAAACAGTTCAATTTAGTGGATTCACACTGATTTAACAAATATGCATTATGTCAGTCACATCAAGTTCTCTATCTTGCCAGTGTCTACTCAGAGCACAATGTTAAGTATTCTACCAGTATGTCACATCCTCAGTGGACAGAAACTGCTAGAAGTAATGTCCTCCAAACCATGTACTCCTTAAATGCAGGGATCCTTTACCCAGTACACCAAAAGGCTACTGCAACCCTGGCTGTGTGAGCACTTACAAATGGACAGACTCACTGGTAAACGAATAAGGCTACTTCAGTCTACCAAAAACATCTCATGTATTCTCATGGGGCTCGTGGGGCACTGTTTAGTAATTATAATAACAATAGTAATAATAATAATGAACTTTAGAGAATATTAAATTGTTAGACTCTAAACTGATATTAATTACCTTGCCTCCCATCACAATGAGAAAATGTTGGTCTAAGAAAAATGGTCCCCACAACTGCTCAAACAGGCCAGGGCTAAGTTTATAAACTTTCTGGGCTGTGGTGATTTTAAATGACTAAAAACAAGTACATACCTGGAGAATTTGCCACGGAGTCAAAGTGACAGTTAGCCAGTACAGCGTGCTGGGCTCCACCTCGGGGTTCCAGCTTTACCACGACATTAGTAATGTTGTCATAGTAGCTTGTGAAACCGCCCAAGAAGTCAATGCTAAAGGAACCTGTGGGCCTTTGTATATCTACTGAAATTCTGTGGAGGCTGTTGCTCTGTACTTCAATCAGTTTGATCTGCTCCAAAAGGTACTGCACTGTCAGAATTTCATTTTCGGCACTTCCTGTAGTCCTGGGACCAATGGCTGTTATGTGTTCCAGATAATCCCTGGAAGAAATCCAAAGGATGGTGATGACACTCTCCTGCAAACTTAAAATGAACACATCTTGGAGCAACTTCCACTGTGCTTCCCTCCTACCTCAGAAAGTTTAGTTCTTCTGACTTCTCACATAAAGAAATAAAAAGCACTAGCCTCCTCCATTTCTAAGACATGGTCTCTGGCTGTCCTGGAACTCCCTATCTAGACCAGGCTGGCCTCGAACTCACAGAGACCCACCTGCCTCTGCCTCTCAAGTGCCAGGACTGAAGGCACTTTAAAAAATAAAAATAAAAAAATTCAGACATTCCAAGAAAATTACCTGGAAGTTTCATCATTGTATATTGCATCCGAGGAACTAATGCTTTCATTTTTTCCTCCATTGACCCCACATCAAATCAGTACCAAGACTAGGGCTTATATTCAATATGTGTGACTGCTGACGACTAGACAGGAAAACACTACTTCACAGGCTACATATAGATTGTTCCTTACTGGGTCTAAGTGGCAGAAACCGATGATGAGTAAAATCATGGAAAACCACTAAGAAAATAAGTTTCCAACACGTTACATCCAATGAAGCAGCTTTTAAAACACAGCCACAATTAAAAACTTTCTGCTGGCTTAGGATTCATCTGGTTTAAGACGCAAGTTACAATATCAAAGAGTTCACCTTCCCAGGTACATCCGAGGTCGTTTAAAAAGGTTGAACACTATACAATCCCTAGTACAGAAGAGCTACAGACCATCTGCGAACTTCGGAATTGTAGGCAAAATTTTGAATGGGTGGTCTCTAAGGAGTGCCCACAGCTTTCGGATTTCGGGGGCTGGGTGCTTGGGAAGGCAGCACACTACATGACCCCTTTCCAACACCATCCCCAAAAGGCTTTATAATGAATGTAGTCTTGGTTACATACACCCCACTCCCGTCTCATTTTAAATTCAGAGAACTAACTGAAGTAAAAGAAGTGGAAGTTGCTCCAGAAAGAGGGGAGGACGGATGACAGGGGCGTGCTAACATCCAATCCTCGGCAAGCGGGGCAGAGTGGATGGCAAAGCAGACTCGATCCACCTGGCCACCCCGAGAAAGCGAAAGGGAGAACCTGCAAACCCCGGATACCGGCCATTCGGACCCCAGAGGGACGCGCAGGACCATCTCACTTCCCACCCACGTGCGCCCAGGGACCCCGGGACTCAGTATCCAAGTGCCCGGCACCGCGGCGCCAGACTCACCCGCCTAGGGCTCACCGATCCGGGGCTCACGGGCGCGGGACTCACCGACCCCGGCCTCCCCCAGCCAGGGCTCCCCCGCCTGAGGCAGCAGCGGACGTGCTGCCGGGCTGCCCGGTCGGCCGTACCTGGCTTGGTGCGCGTCGAACTCGCCCTGGAGCCCTGCGGTCCGGCTCAGCACCAGCCGCTGCAGCGAGAGCTGCACGAGCGCCCGCAGGGCGAGCAGGTAGAGTGCGAGCGCCAGCACCGTGCGCGCCTCGGACAGCGCGCTCCCCGCGCCCCGGCTTGCGCCTCCGCTCTCCGGGCTCCTCCTCCGCGTCCTCCCGCCGCCGCTCGCATCCTCCCGCGCTGAGGCCTCTCTCGCCCGGTGCGGCGCGGCCGCCGGTCCCTCCCGACGCTCCGCGGCGCCACGGTGCCGCCTCACGGCCGCCGACTCGGAACTCCATTCCATGGCCGCGACAGCGGCAGCCACCAGCCCCAACCGCCCCGGCCCGCGACAGCCCGGGCCGCCGCGGCCGCCGCAGCGCCTCCTAGTGAGCGGACGGAAACTGCAGAGGGCCAAACTTCTTCTGATTGGCTGGTCCGCCCTGCGGCGACCCAGCGCTGGAGTCCGGGCGATCTTTGGTGGCCCGGGCGGGGCTTGGTGGGTGTGCTTGCTCCCCAGCCTGGTGCCCTCAGATTGCCAAACGGAAAAATACCCATAAACCTAAAAATGAGCAGCCCCAACCAAGAGAAAAGTGCGAGGCCGCTTTTAGCAGAATGCACGAGGCATTTAACCTGCACTGGGCAGGCGATGACTCCGTTTGCCTCTGAAAAAGTAGGACTCTAGCTTAAAAAAAAAAAAAAAAAAAAAAAAAAGACTTCACATCCGGCACTGGACGAACAGGCCTGTAATCCGGGCACTAGGAAGGATGGCTACTGGAGGATCCCTAATTCGAGTCCAGAGTGAGTGGGATAGTTAACGAAGACCCTGCCTTAAAATAAATAAAAAAATTTAAAAAATTGCATGTCTAATCCCAGCACTCAGGAAGCATAAAAGGGAGGATTTACACAAATTAGAGGCCTGACCAGTCCACATAGAGAGTTCCCAAAGAGTTCCAGGCCAGTTAGGGCTACAGAGGATGAGAGGGAGAAGGAGGAGGAACAGAGAGGAGGAGGGAGACAGAAGCAGGTAATTGGGGCTAGTGCCCCCCTCCCCCTTCTCCAAACCCTGCCCCTCAGAAAGCCTGCCACCCCCGATCCATAGACCTGCCATGTGATTTCTCTTCTTCCCACAAGATCACCGGGGAATGCCTTGCTCAGATTAAACCTGGTTTTATTAATTTGGCTTGATCTGGTTTATTGCATCGGCGGAGAAAGCCATTACCGGGGATTCAAAATACTTATCAGTGCCATCTCCTTTTCACAGATACAAATAATAGCTATAATTTAATGAATAGCTGCTGAGTCAAGCAGTGTGCTAAGTACAGACTTTGAAAAGAAAACATTTTTGTTCCTGTTTAATAGCCGAAGAACATAGAGGCAGCAAATGGCAAATGAATGGGCTCCCGGGACAGCCTTCTGTTCCTCTGCTATACGGGCACTCTGGAGCCAAAGTTCTGAAAAGATGTTCTTGGGCCAACAAGATGGATCACAAGGTAAATGTGTTTGTCCCCACCTTCCCCCAAAGCCTGACATCCAGAATTCTGAACTATGAATAAATGCTATGTAGAAGTGCTATGGTAGGAGGAGAGAACCAACTTCCACTAGGTGTCTACTGACCTAAACACACACACACACACACACACACACACACACACACACACACATATGCGTGCACTGGCAAACATACATATCATACAAACACACATCATATAAACACAATTGTGCTGGCTAGTCTTATGTCAGCTTGACACACAAACTAGAGTTATCTGAAAGGAAGGAACCACAATTGAGAAAATGCCTCCATAAGACCTGGCTGTAGGGCATTTTCTTAGTTAGTGATTGATGAGGAAGGGCACAGCCCTTTGTGGGTGATGCCATCCCTGGGCTGGCGCTCTTGGGTTCTATAAGAAAGCAGGCTGAGCAAGCCATAAGGAACAAGCCAGTAAGCAGAGTCCAGTCCCCACCCCCCATGGCGTCTGCATCAGCTCCTTCCTCCAGGTCCTTCCCTGCCTTGTTTGAGTTCCTGCCCTGACTTCCTGTAATGAAGAACTGTGATGTGGAAGCATAAGGAAAATAAACCTTTTCTTTCCCAGCTGCTTTGACCATGGTGCTTCATCATAACAATAGCAACTCTAACTAAGACACACAATAACAAAATAAAAAAAAATGTAAATACCTTAAAAATAAATGAGTAATAAGTGAATAGTTAGTCTTTTGATATCACAGTTAAGTGTTAAGAAGCTGGTCAATGATGTTAGTGGCCATTGCTGACAGCTGACCAGCCTTGTTTCTGCTTGCTGGTGCAGTAAGCCTCTTGGATTCAAAGTTCTGTGGCCCACACACGTCATGGCTTACATGCTCTAAGGCACTAACCTAGAGACCCACTGAGAAAACACAATGTAGGATTCTGAACTTCTGTGTCTACAACACCCTGCCTACCTCTCAGACCCATCAGACGCAGGACGTGCCTACAGCCACACTGGCCTCTCTCAAAGACTTCCAGGTCATCTCCTTTACAACATCTTCTCATATACTGTTTGGATTACCCAAAATGTGTGTTCCTTCCCTTCATTGCCAAGCTAATACCCTTCAAATCTCAACCCAAGTGGTCCTTGCTCAAACTAGACTCTCTTGATCCAGTTCAGCCCACTTCCCCTTGTGTCTGCTCTTATAGCAAGCACCATTAGTGCTGTGATTATTTCATGTTTCCTTCACTAGACTGCAGGCTCCATGAAGGCAAGAATCGGTCTGATTTTACTCAGCACGTTACTCACTTCTCCTAAGACACAGCATGGCAGGTACAGGTGAAAACACAGCAGTTTCTGGAAGCACAGAACTTTAGTTTTCTATAAGATTCTTTCTAGTCTATAAGCTCTATGAGACCAAAAACAATGTCTGTGTTATTTATTCATCACCTTACCCATAGTGCTTAGCTTCTGCCCAGTCTCTGGTCATCACTCACTATGTATTCATTGAATGAGAGAATGAAAATATACATTACCTTCTGTAAGACTCAGATATTTTTTGCTATTTACTTCCCCCCAAAGTCTAGACCCTTTATCATCTTTGGAAGAAGAGTCCTCAAAGTCAATAGCTGTACCTGCTACAATATATGATGATATATCAAGATATATCAATAAATAAGTAATAAGTGAAAAATTAGTCTTTTGATATCACAGTTAAGTGGCAAGTACATTTCAGTATATCAAGATATGGGTGATTCTGCTATCTTGTTATGATTGGGGGTCATAGAGTTTGGTGTGTTGGCTAGTTTTATGTCAACTTGAAGCAAGCTATAGTCCACTTAGAAGAGGGACTGCCCTGAGTTCCTGTTCTGACTTCCCTTGGTAATAGAGTATGCATGCTATGGAACTGTACGTTGAAATAAACCCTTTCTTCCCCAAGTTGCAATTGATCATGGTGTTTGATCACAGCAATAGAAACCTAACTAAAATACCTACGGAGATAATGTTCCAGGCAGAGGGAAATTAGCAATCTTCAGATGCAACACTGAGAAAGGCTGTAACTAAAACAAAATTAACTAGGAAGGGTATTGGTGAAATTATTAAGGCTACTCCACGTAGTTAAAAGGGAGGTTTATTTAGTGGCGTAACTTACAAATGAAGGGACAGGTAGGTTGCAGGGTCTGGGGAAGGTGTTCCTTCCGGCGTTCTGGTGTTCTCTGGAGAACTCTGCTCCATCTACCTCCAGCGTCCAGGGTCCAGGAACCAAGAGAGCTGGCACATCTGGATCTCGGGTCTTCAGGGTCCTCTCTTGGCCCTGCCTTGTAGGGGTGACAGTTACTGAAGCCTCAGTGGGGGTTGGAACTTCCAGATCAAGGTTGGAATGGCTTCCCACTACAGAAGGGCATTGGAAGAGGCTAGCTAAGAGCAGTAGTCAGGGAGCAGCACGTGGAGGGCCTCATGGCTTCAGCAAGGACTCTGGAGGGTCTGAAACAGCAGCACAAAAACCACACCTAGAACGGTTGTCTAGTCATACCCCATGACCCCAGCCTCAACCTTAAGATAACTCAACCAAAAACAGACTAAGAAAACAAGCACTGAACCTAGATTTGGGCTTCCCATCCCTGGTCCTTTACACAAAGCCTTATATACCTTATACAGTATATACCTTATATAACTTATACACTATATACCTTATTCATCCTTATATAACTTATACCGTGTGTGTATATATCTTATACATCCTTATATAATTTATACAGTATATATCTTATACACCCTTATATAGCTTAAACAGTATACACCTTATATACCCTTATATAGCTTACACAGTATATATATACTTTATATACCCTTATACAGCTTTGCTGAATACATTGGGCTAGCCTGTGGTGATATATTATATATCCTAATAAACTTGCCTGAGGATCAGGGGACAAAGCCAGCCACTAGATTAGACATAGAGGTCAGGCAATGGTGGCACACACCTTTAATCCTATCACTTGGGAGGCAGATATCCATCTGGATCTCTGTGAGTTCAAGGCCACACTGGGCTACATGAGATTGATTCAGTATAGGAGAGAAACAGAGCCAGGCAGTGGTGGCACATTTCTTTAATCCCAGCACTTGAGATCTCATGCCTTTGCTTGGGAGCACACATCCCTTTAATCCCAGGAAGTAATATGGCAGGGCAGAGAAAGGTATATAAGGCATGAGGAAACACTCCCTTTAGGCTGAGGATTTTGTAGAGGTAAGAACTAGTGGCTGGCTGTTCTGCTTCTCTGATCTTTCAGCTTTCACCCTGATTCCTGGCTCTGGGTTTTTTATTAAAAGACCATCTAAGATTTGAACAACACTAGCCTGCACAACAGCCTTGACTCTAATAACATCTGGGCTTTTTAAGTACCAGAGGCTACTTTGACCTGTAGTTTTATTTGTGTGGAAAGACTACAGTCAATTGAAATGCGTACTCTAGTTTCCCCATACTAAACTGATGCTGAGGATAAGATGGAGGTAAAGGCTTTACCAGCCCTATCTGATGGGCTGTTGATCATTGGGGCTAAGTCAGTTCATCTTTCTTGGCAGACAATTAAGTTTTTCTTATGAGACAGAGTTAGGCTGATGAACAAGCATAGAGATGCTCCAAAGCCTTTCTTTCTTGTTTCCCAGTTACTTAGCTAAAGTGAAGATGGAAGACCCGTGCACTGTCAACACACAGGCTGCTGCACAGCTGACATGCCTTAGATGAGCACCACAGCTTACTGACCTATAAGGCCTGCTCCCCAAGTATGGTTCCCTGAGCTGAAAGCTAACAGAACACTTGTTACCTTGTGTTACATTATCATTAAAATCAAGTGAGGTATCAAGCCAAGAAGTGAGAAGTCAGTTGCAAAACGAGTTGCAAAAGAC